GTGAGCTCAAATGTGGCTTCTGAAGATTTACAGCACTGCAGCGGTGCACAGTAAGTGCTCATTAACAGCTTTAACATGCATGGCAACAAAGTAAATTATAGAAGATATTTGCATTACTGTCTCCACTGCTCAAAGTGAAAATATAGAGGTCAAAAGTTAGGAAACCATTATAATTATTATTAGTAGTAGTATTTTTTAAGATTCCCTTATGCTCACCAAGACTGCATTTAGTCATTGACAAATACAAATACAGTAAAAACATTACAATTGCAATTTAAAATAACTTTTTTTCTATTTGAATATATTTTAAAATGTAATTTATTCTTGTGATATAAAGCTGAATTGTCAGCATCATTACTTGCGGCTCAAGAAACATTTATTCTTATTATCAATGTTGTAAATAATTGTGCTGCTTAATATTTTGTGGAAAATTTAATAGGCCTACATTTTTAAGGATTCTTTGATGAGTAGAACATTCAAAAGGACAGTATTTATTTGAAATAGAAAACTTTTGTAACATCATGAATGTGTTACTGTCACTTTTGATAAATCTAATGTATCCTTGCTGCATCTTGCACCTTTGAGAAATAAGTTGGGCAATGAGAGTTGTCTTCTGAGACAAAGAGGTCCACCTCTGCCCTCTCGAAGACCAACCAAATCATCTGGACCACTTGGGGGTGTAGTATCCATTCTCCTGGAGATACATCTCTCTGGGACAGCATGTCTGCTCCTTGGTTCAGTCTTGGTGCAGTCTGCCCTGCATGTGGACTGCCTTCAGTGAACGCAGGCTTCAGTGTGCCCATAGAAGGTAGAGGGAGTGTGACCTGAGACCACCTTGGCGATTTATAAAGGCCACCACCATCATGTTGTCCAAACAGACAAGGACACGGTGCCCCTTCAAGGCTGGTAGGGAGGTTTCTTAGGGCCAGAAAAACCACCAACATCTCAAAGCAGTTAATCTGCAGGCGTTGCGCCAAGATGGACCAGAAGCCGAACGCCGGTCTGCCCTCGTAGAGTGTTCCCCAACCCGAGTTGGAGGCATCTGTCATGACTACCTTCCTTCTGGAGGCCAGTACCAATAAAATGCCTATCTGAAGGCAAGGGGCTTTCCAAGGGGCCACAGCTCTGATGCAGCGTTGGGTCACCTTGAGGTGAAGTGTCCCATGGGCAAGCTTGGGATGGTGCATAGGCTTTGAGCCAGAATTAGAGGGGCTGCATGTGAGGTAAGCCCAGAGGAATCACCGGCAAGGCGGCCGACATGAGGCAGAGCATCCTCTGGAAAAACTTGAGGGGAAGAGAAGCCCTTAATGTGAATGACACTGATATCTGCTGAATTGTCAGTGATTGTTCCGGCACGAGCCAGGCCCGCATCTGGGCCGAATCGATAGCTATTCCCAGAAAGATGACCCACTGGGTGGGAGACAGAGCTTTTGGCTAAATTTACTTTGAGCCCAAGGCGCTCCAGGTGGCTGAGCAGCAGCGACCTGTGAGCAATAAGTCCCTGCTCTGATCTGGCTAACACAAGCCAATCGTCAAGGAATTTCATAATGCAGATTCACATCTGTCTCAGAGGGAAAGGAGCCACGTCCATGCACTTCGTAAAAGTGCGAGGGGCCAGAGACAGTCCGAATGGCAGGACTGCATATTGATAAGCCACCTTCTCGAACATGAATCTCAAGAATGGTCTCTGAAAGGGGGCTATCTGGATGTGAAAGAAAGCATCTTTCAGATAAACCGATAAACACCACTCCCCTGGGCATATTTGGGCGAGGTTCCGCTTCAAAGATAGCATCCTGAATGGGCGTTTCATTAGGGCATGGTTCAGGTGCTTAGATCGAGGATGTTGTGAAGAGTTCTCTTTTGAGTTGGGTGTGTCCGCTATCGCAGCAGTAATTTGCTTGGGCATGTGCTGAGTAGCAAGTACAGGCCCAGCATGAACAGAGCTTCCATCGCTCAGAGCTAAACAGGACTGGAGAGCGAGCATGAGACTTCTTTGAGGGCAGTCCAGCCCTCTTCTCTTCCTCTCTGCTTTGAGGGCAGGATGGCTTGTGCGGCTCAGGGTCCAATGTCACCAATTGGCCAATCCAATGGCCCTGGCACTTAGGAAAAGGGTAGCATTTATCCGACTGAGGGCATTGTCGGAGCTCAGGCTCTGATTTGGGCTGAGGCTGAGCGGGAGATTGAGTAGGCTTCGCAGGCTGCTGGGAAGACGGAGCCTTCTGGCAACTTGAACCAGCCACCAAGCTAAAGCGCTTAGGCAGGAAGTGGCGCATTGCCTGCGATGATTCTGTGCTGCAGTGAAGCACTCTGTCTACAGCAGGGCCAAATAACCCAATGGTGGAGACAGGGGAGTCGAAAAAGGCAACTTTATCCGCATCCTTGATCTCTTTCAAGTTCAGCCAAAGATGGCCCTCAAGCACCACCAAGCTGGCCATGGCCTTGCCTTTCGCCTGTGCAGTAGTCTTAGTAGCATGCAGAGCCAGGCTCCTTAAAAGCATGAGGGTTCAGGCTGGACTCATCCATTGCACAGAGGAGTTTGGTTTGAAACACTTGAAGCACCACCATCTTGTGAAGCACTGAGCCACTGTGTAAGCCCTGCCCGCTAGGGCTGAGGTGGTCCTGCAGGGCTTGGATGGGTGCACAGCCTTGGCTATCAGCCCCAGGGCTGATGGAAGGCAGAGGTCTGCAGCAACCGCCTCTTCCAAAGGGGAGGTGAGAGCGGCAGAAGTAGTAGAGTGGATGCGCACCAAGTAGGGGGCGTGCCACACCTTGGTAAGCTCATTGTGAATTTCCAGAAAAAAAGGGGCGACGATTTTTGGCGGGAGGTTGGTTGACAACGTCCCGACAGGTACCATTCATCTAAGTGGCAGCGTGCGGGCTCCTCTGGAGCCGAACAGTCTAAGCCGAGTTCCTCCACAGCCTTGTTGAGGATGGAGATCAGTTCGCTATCCACGTCAGCCCGTATTGACTCATTGGGCAGAAGGGTGCCAGGATCCCCTCCAGAGGATGCCCATTGTTCTGCATCTAAAGCTATCAGTGATATGGAATCATCAGTGACAGCTTCCTCCTCCGATCTGCCGAAAGAGATCAAACCACTCACTGCAGATGAGGGTGTTAAAACTCACGTGTAAACTACACAAGCAAATCGAACTGCTTTAGGGAGAGTGAAGCATGTGGGACCTGTGCCGGCATGAGATCAATCAGTTGCTCAGCCCCATGACTCTGCTTTTTCTTCCTCCAAGGCTCCTGGGAGGGGAGAAATGGGAAAGCGGGTGGGGCAGGGCCACATTCATTGAAGAAGGTGATCCATGAGCAAAGCAGGGCAAGACTTATGCTCATGCTCGCAGTGAGAGCAGTCTGTCTTAGTAAGTGCAGCCTCAGCATGGGCGTGGCCCAGGCAAGCAACACACTCACTTTGCCACACTCGTGGCACGGCATTTGCAACAACACCGCAGAAATTTCTTCCAGTACATTTGCTCTTTGTGATTGCTGGATGGCTGCAGAGGAGAAGCGCTGAAGAAGGGCGTCTTTCCGCTACCAGGGCTCTTCTAGGGCGAAAGCAGGCATCTTTGCTCTTCTTCTTCAGAGTCCAGTGAGGAGATGATTTCACTAAACGTGAGAAACCATTTTCGGGAACTTGTTACACCCCCATTAGCAACAATAACTTGATAACAAGAACTAATTACAGTTTCACACTGCACGTTTTGGCCCACTTATCCCTGCAGAGCTGCTTCAGCTCAGCAACAGTAACTTTTCATATAGATAAAAAATGTATTTTCTTTGTTATGTGATGAATGTAATTTTAGTTCACTCTAAATACAAGGGCAGTTTTTATGGGTGTCACCACTTTGTTTAATCTCATGCATCTTTTGGTCATCAGCAACCTTGAAGGAGTTTAGAGACACCACACAGATTCTTCGACTTTCAGTTGCTCTTTCCATACTTGAGTCCCCTTATCAGGGCACAGTGTGCAGTACAGTGCGGCGAACACTTGCCCTGCTTTTAATGAACTGTAGACAGCTGGTGCCAGGAACACCATATTGTGATTATTTATTGGATGAACAAAGACACACACAAGCTTTCATTCATATGCACCATGCTGTCATGAGCTGGATGCCCTAAAAGTGATAAAATGGATCTGGCTTTTACATGGCAGGTGACTGGTTTCTGAGCCAATCAAATAGATAATTCATTAACAAACATGGGGCCCAGAATAAAGATCTCTCAGTAGGCCATACACACCAGCATGTCGTACTGGCTGATACGTGGAGATGGAAATAGATTTTAGGCCTATCATGTCTAAAGCAGCAGTATTATTAAATATGCCGTAGTTTTACACAGGAATAATATCATATATATGTATGCATTAATTACTTATTTCCTCGTGTATTCCCAAAAAGCTCTTTTTTTAGTTTCATCTGACCATAGAAGCCAGACCCGTTTGAGGTTCCATTCATGTCTGACAACTGAATATGGCTGGAGTTTGTTTTTGGATGAGCGAGGAGGATTGTTCTTGAAACCCTCAGAGCAACATGTTTATATAGGGGCTGTTTGATATATATATATATATATATATATATATGCTTTCTGACCCCAAGATTCAACTAATCTCTGCAATTCTCCAATCCTTGGAGAGTCTTTGGCCAATCAAATTATCCTCCTCACCGCATTAGGACGATATAGACACATGTCCTCTTCCAGGCAGATTTGTAACATCTTTAGTTGATTGGAACTTCTTAATTATTGCCCTGATGGTGGAAATGGGGATTTTCAATGCTTTAGCTATTTTCTTAAATTTCTATTATGTGAAGCTCAACAATCTTGTTTTGCACATCAGAACTATATTCTTTGGTTTTACTCCTTGTGATGGATGCATAAGGGAATTTGGCTCTTGTGTTCCTCATATTTATAATAATAATAATAATATTTATAAAGTAATGGCTGGAAAATATCATGCTCCTAGTCACCGGGGGCTTAAAAAATTTAAATATGAATGGGAGTATACTTAAAAGATATTTTACTCATAAGAAATTTCTAGGGGTGCCAATAATTGTGGCCAAAATGCATTGGACAAAAACATTTATTTCATAATGTGAGATTCCCCCCACTTTCCACTTTCAATTGTTTTACTCTCTCTCTCTCTCTCTCTCTCTCTATATATATATATACTTCAAGATACATTCTTGTTACATGTTTTTGACCAAACCAGTGTATTGAGGTTTATATCTATATCAAGGTTTAAAAAGTGTTTTTTTATGTGGTTTTTCACAGCACTGTATAGAACAGAAATAGGTCATGTTTAATTAAAAAATATCTGACATGCATGAATTTTACATGCAAGATTTCAAAACCTATTTCAGGCACGCTCACTGAACCACTAAATTAAAAGCGAACCTACATAACAGCTCCAGTGCAGGTGTGCAACGCAAGGATTTTAATCAGAGAACAAAAGAGACATAGATGTTTTTAATTTAATCTTTCTCATCATTTCCAATGACTTACTACTAAGCATGCTCATGAATTGGTTCAAGATTCATTACATTTTTCAGAATACTTGTGGCCCATATTTTATTTTTATTTTTACATGTATTATATCGCACAACAGGTGCAATAATATGTTTTAAAGGGGTCCTATTATGCTTTTTCACTTTTTGTATTTTAGTCAGTGTGTAGTGTGTATGTTTGGGCATAAAAAATATCTACAAAGTTTCAAATCTCAAAGTCCACTCCAAAGGGAGATAATTTGTTTAAAAAAAATCCCTTTACAAGAACTACAACGAACGGCTCGTTTGGACTACAGCGTTGTTTTCCGGGTTTTGTGATCACAAAGCGGCCCATTAGAATATAATTAAAATAATTATGGAATGGTTTCCTACGGAAATGCGAATGGTTGGGGGGTGCGGAGGGGCGAGGTCGTAGTTAGAACGCTTGGTTGAGTGCATCGGACAAGACGACGACTAAGAAGAAGTGCTGCTGTAGCGTTATTACACATGCACCTGAACAATTATGTATGTAAATATGTATGTTACAATTATGAAAATGTTTTTTATAATACATTGCTGACAGTACAATACTGGACAATGATGTAATCTGCAGAATTTACACTTCAATTATGAGACTACAGTGTTTCCCATACATTGAGTGAGGGTGTTTTTATATCACTGTATTTCTTAAAGGGTTAGTTCACCCAAAAATGAAAATGTTGTCATTAATTACTCACCCCCATGTCGTTTCAAACCCGTAAGACCTTCGTTCATCTTCGGAACACAAATTAAGATAGTTTTGATGGAATCTGAGAGCTGTCTGACCCTGCATAGACAGCAACGCAACTGAAATGTTCCCAAGTCCAGAAACGTAGCAAAGAGATCGGTAAAATAATCCATGTGACATCAGTGGTTTTAACCTGTCAACAATTTGTCTCCTCCGCATCACCCTGTAAACAGCACAGAGGCAAAGGTAGGCGACCGCCTTGGGCCCCCAAAAGCCAAGGGAACCCTAAAATGCTTTTTATATGCAAGATGCGCGTTCAGTGCTGACGCACAAGTGGTTGCTGTGGTGTTCATTACCACGACAACCGTCTGTGTGTCCGCGTTGAACGTACTTCTTAGCAAAAGTAGGGCGATGTAGAAAATGGGGACGGAATCCCGGAATCTATTCATAAAAACGGAATTTACTGGGTAACGCGGAATGTGACGGAATGAATGGCGCAGACACGTGTTTCGTTTGCTAGTTTGCTATTTAAGCACGCGCAACGCTCGCGGTTGTCGTCTGTAGTAGCTAAATAGTATTTTTTGAATTTAATATTCACATACACTAGTCCATATCATGGTTTGATTGAAGTGTACTGAAATGCATTTGATTTATTCATTCAATATTTGACGAATTCTGTGACATTGCTCGTTACACAGTAAACTTCTGTTGTGTAGCATTTTGAATGTACAAAAATTAAAGGGTTTGTTTAATTTTCATTGGAATAAAAGATTTTTGCCTTCATTTGATTACCAGAAAAATGAAAATACACAACACAGAATTTCAAAAAAATAAGTACATAAAATTTAAATTTCATAGGGCCCTATTATTGTATAAAAATGAATAAATTAAGTTGTTTTTATGAATTCAATTAATTAGATATGTTTTTGATTAAACCATTAAAATGGAATACAGAAAAATTCAAATAAAAAAAAAGAAAGCGCACAATTTGGGTCCTGAATGTAATTTTTGTTAAACTTTTAATAGGCCTAAATTGCTGTTAAATTAAACAAGTTTCATGATTTTAATTAATTAGACATGCTTTTTGTTAAAATTTAATATAATCATCCAGACAAATTAAAACGAAAAAAAAAAAAAAAAACTGAATCCAGAAAAATTAAAACTGAAAAAAAGATTTTGGAAAAAATAAAACGGATTTCATAGGGCCCTACAAATATCATGCATCTGAAGCTATAATTTTAATACTAAGCAACAGTGCATATTATATAGGGCCTATTTTAATTATTTTAAATGGCGCTCACTCATTTTTGTGAAAGACCCAAGAAGGATGTATAGGTCCCCATTCCTGTATTTTGCCTGGGGCCCCCAAATCACTAAATCCGCCCCTGAAACAGCGTATGCTGTTCTTTGTCAGCTGCATCACGCCGGATCTGTTTCCTACATTGTTGTGATTTGATCTGAACGGAAGCAGAGTAGCCGGCGTGACGCAGCTGACACAGAACAGCATACGCTGTTTAGAGGGTGATGCGGAGGTGACGAATTGTTGAATAAAGTCGTTTTTTTTTTTTCTTTTGCGCACAAAAAGTATTCTCGTAGCTTTGTATAATTGCGGTTGAACCACTGATGTCACATGGATTATTTTACCGATCTCCTTGCTACGTTTCTGGACTTGGGAACATTTGAGTTGCGTTGCTGTCTATGCAGGGTCAGACAGCTTTCAGATTCCATCAAAAATATCTTAATTTGTGTTCCGAAGATGAACGAAGGTCTTACGGGTTTGAAACGACATGAGGGTGAGTAATTAATTACAGAATTTTGGGTGAACTAACCCTTGAAGGAAACTGACTGTCTTCAGAAAATTGGAAGTCATTTTCATTTCATCTTGCATGTAATATCTGATAAAGCAGCGTTTGTGAGCGAAGCGCTGCTTTGTCTACAGCCGTTACCAGGGAAACCTCTATCTCTACCACTCCAACAGCGCCTCCTGCTGATGAATGAATGAATTTGCATATATATGCCGCCACAAACAGAGTGCAAGTCTATGTGAAACACTGGACTATGGTATAAATAAATTCAACTGTATAACAGTTTCACTGCAATTCATGTTATAATGTTAGAATTAAAGAACAATAAACAGACATTGATTGCTGCGAAGTACTCCTTACATAACGAGCTTGAAAGTGGCGCATAATCATGCGAGCTACAATTGCAGCCTGCCATTATGAAATATCCATAATTATTTCACACTGGAGAGAGAGTGAGTTTTGATTTCCTTTGTCTTCAGGCAATGGCTTTGCAAATGGTTGTGTTCTTTTCGGACCTGTGGCTTGGTTTGAAGAAATGGGAAATTACAAAAGCTTTTTGAAAAGGAAATGTTCCAGAGGGAATAAATGCTGTGATTTTCTCTACATCCTACAACAGATTTTTGAATCCTGGGCACAATATCGGATGAAACAATGCATAGCTGATGAAAGAGGAGCACAAGGCTAAACATCCTTTCTTTAGAGTCTTTGTCTAACTTTCTAATGACTGGAATTTATGGAGACTTGTGATTTACCTGAAACAATGTTTAATCCTCACCTAAAAATGTGTACTGTGCATATGTTGATGCACAATTTTCTGCATTATGCATTGGAGAATGCTCAGGACATCCAGTTCATAGCTCGTTTTACTGGCATTGCCCAGCTCAGAAACGGATGTCGTAATTAGATTTGTATGGTTTCAGTGCCTCTAATGGCAAGAGTTAGGGTTACGTAATGACAACATTATTTTGCAATGGCAGCACAGGAATGATTAAAGGAATAGTTCGCCCAAAAATATAAAATAAGCTAAAAATGTACTCACCCTCAGGAGATCCAAAATGTGGATGAGTTTGTTTCTTGATGGGAACAGATTTGGAAAATGTAGCATTACATCACTTGCTCACCAATGGACCTTCTGCAATGAATTGGTGCCATCAGAATGAGTGTCCAAACAGCTGATAAAAACATCACAATAAACCTCAAGTGATCCACATGACAAGTACATTAATTAACGTATTGTGAAGTGAAAAGCTGCGTAGTTGCAGTTAATCCCTCATCAAGGCATTTTAACTTTAAACCAGTAGTTCTTAACTCTGGCCCTCAAGGTCCACTTTCCTGCAGAGTTTAGCTCCAACCCTAATCAAACACACCTGAACAAGATAACCTAGGTCTTCAGGATTACTAGAAAGTTACTGGCAGGTGAGTTTGATCAAGGTTGGAGCTAAACTCCGCAGGAAAGTGGACCTTGAGGGCCAGAGCTGAGAACCCCTGCTTTAAACCATCGCTGCTGGCCAAAATATAATCCATAATAAAACTTACTTCAGTGAAAACGTCCGTTCCCTGTTGTCCTTTCACACCAAAATCCACTGACATATTTGTTTAAAACGGTTTTGGACTGTTTGTTGCTTGATCTGTGCATATTTCTCTCCTGATTCAGACAATATGACTTTTTCACTAGAAAGCAATATTATTGATAGAGGACTATTTTAGCAAAGGTTTTGAAGTTAAACATGTCTTGATGGATTTGTTTCTTACAAACATGCAGATTTTCACTTCACAAGATGTTAACTGATGGACTGGAGTCGTGTGGATTACTTTTGGATTATTGTGATGTTTTTTATCAGTTGTTTGGACTCTCATTCTGATGGCACCCATTCACTGCAGTGGATCCATTGGTGAGCAAGTGATGCAATGCTACATTTCCCCAAATCTGTTCCGATGAAGAAACAAACTCATCTACAACTTGAATGGCCTGAGTGTGTTTGGGTGAACTATTCCT